AAACAGCGCGCCCGCCTTCGAGTAGGAAATAGCAGCGGCCGCAGAAGTGGCCAACAGATAACTACCACATTGTTCGTCACGCCACCTGCACTGAAACGTAACAGCTATTTAATCGTGAAATGTAGCTATCCATCCAAAAATGCTGCACTACACCAGCACCACCGCACAGTTAGCAGATAGGTACGGAACGCAGGTCCTGGTCTCTGTCTCTTCCGAGTAGGGTCTCCGGACCGGTCACCAGCGCCACCATCTCCGCGCGGTAGCTAAAGCACAGCTCTCCGGCCGGGGCCCGCAGTTCCTCGGCCTCTTCGTCCAGCCTTGTCCTTGTTTTGACGTGAGTGAATGTGCAAATGTTTTGAATGATTAGATCAGCAGCCGCGGATACGGATTCTGAGCAGTAATCGCCACGCACTTTGTATGTGGATCGCTCTTAAATGTAAATACAAATACAAATACAAATACAGCCAGACCAGCACGGCTCCCGCCCAGCACCTGAAGACTCCGCCCTCCGCAGATCCGTCCGTCCAAAGCCGGACAGCACACAGGGGCAGGAACGCGAGGTGCAGCGTAGCCACGCTTTCCCTTTCCGCCGCCGTGGCCCCAGCCCGGATCGGGCACACGTCCAACCGGAAGGTGACGCCAGCCGTCTGTTGACACGGTGGGATTCTCGCTCTCGCCCAGGCCTGGCGGCCTCGCAATCTCCAGCCTCGGACCGAAGACAGGCGCGCCGGTGCCGAGGCCTTGGCGGTCGCGCGCAGGGGGTCCCCTGATGGCAGAGCCAGCGCCCTCCCCAGCAGCCAGCGTCCAGCTTCTCTCCTCCATCGGAGAAAGTCGGGCTTCCGCCATTAGTGCGTGGCACGGTGTTGAGCGCGGACACAGGTGCTGATGCGGCCACCTCTCGCAGTCCTCGCTCCAGGAGATTCACGTGCGAGGGGGCGGCCGCCGGCAGCCACGCGACGGCAGCGTGTTCGAGCGCCCCTCGGACGTAAGCGATTGGCCACCGTACTAAGGGCACCCTCGTCCAGGCCCCAGCTATTCAACCAGGTCGACGGCGCCGTAGCCGTCACTCGAGCCACGCCACAGAGCTCACGCCTCAAAGCGGTTGGCTCTCCGGTCCTCGGCATCCGGCATCCGCAGTGATTTGGCGTAGCCAGGACAGGTGAGACGCCGGCCTCAGTCATAACCGAAAAGCCTGTAAAAAAAAAAACAATATGTGATTGACAAATGGAAATATATTGTAAGCATAGAGTTGAGAAATCATGACGCACACTGCATTGTGACAGTATAGTGCGATTGGCAGAGGAGGGACTTATTGTAAGAAAACAATGAGCAATTGAGGCATTGATTTGGTTCTGTAGGTAGCTACCTACCCTTCACATATGAATGTGGATGATTTGTACCATTAAGAAAAACCATAGGCGTAGGAGCGGAGGGGGGGGGGGGCATGCCCCCACTTTTCAGCTATGCTAATTTTTAAAGGGACCCTCCCACCTTCAAAAAAGTTAATGAATTGGCATGAAAGTGATGTCGCTCGGTTCAAAAAGTGCAAAAACGAATATCTACCAAATTTCATCGAAAAATATTCACCGGTTTTCAAGATATTAGACTTTTACTTTTGTTTACTTTTTGGGATCTCCGCTGTTCCTAGCGACTTTATTTGAAAGTGCGGCATTTGTTGCGCGCAAAGCAGCATATACCACCGCGTGCTACAAAACGTTTTAGTCAAACATTTAACGGACGTTCGAAAGCCTGATGACGTCATCAGACTCCCGTAATGGTTAAGAGATAGGGACCACGCTGGTCCCACCCTGCAAGTAAAGGGAAGAAATTTCTTGAACACCATAAAGCTGCGGGGGTTGCGACCAGGATAAATGGTGGTTTCTGAGCCTGGCCGCAAACTTGGCTATCTCAACTCAAAACTAATGTTAAGGTGGGAGGGTCCCTTTAAAGTAAAATATTTATTTTTCATTTAAATTCAAAACTAAGAGCAAGAAATGGTTCGGCAAGGTGAGATGAGCACGAAACTGCAAAGAATTTGTTCATAGGGGTATTACGGTTCCCACAAAGTGACATTGAAGTTCTCTGCCCCCCCCCCCAAACTTTACGTGAGGTTCCTGCGCCCATGGAAAAAACACATTGCATTATGTGCATCAACACTTAACCCTTGCACGAGGGCCACAAAGCCCACTATAAAGCCCACAAGACACCATCTGAAATCAAAGCATGACAAATGATAGCATGTAGGCACCTGACGGCTGACCTACTACATATAACCTACTGAACAAAACATACCACGGCACATATATCAATATGTATCTGCAGATAAAGTATGAATGCTAGGTTGATACCAAGGCTATTTAGTAGGTTGTAGGTATGCTGAAAGGATGAAAGATGGGTATTTTTTCAAAAAAATATCTGATCTACAGTTCATATGAACATGCAACATGGGGTTAGGTAAGGTTTGATTTTTGTTTTGTACCAGACTGGAAATAATACATGTTATGCCTAATATGTCCGGCATAGTGGCGGGATTGCGCCGAAAATTTCAGCGCATGTCCGGCGTAGGTAACTTCGCATGCGCCGAATTCGGCGCATGGCGGCAGATGCCATAGCCTTGATATAGCCTTGATCGGTAGATGTGCACATGTGCTTTATATAAAAAGGGTTTAATTTTTGCACAAATAGGTACCTAATTTTTGGCGCAAATTACACAGAAATTTCAGTGTCTGGGTACCCACCGGCCACCTTCCTGTCAAGTTGATACTTGACACACCATCCTGCTATCTGAGGCGGCCCAGGAACCAGCTCAGGCAATTCAAATTACAATGAAAGTCAACAGTCGTGCGGGAATTACATCACTCCCCATTAAAATCTGATATCAAGTAATTAGTTAATGACGATAATCCCGCCAATCTTATGAAACACATCAACATTGACCTTTGATATTCCGAAAAGAAATACCCATAATGATTTAAAGCGAACGTGTTCTTACGCAGCTGTGACATAAACTGCGCATACGAAAAACACCAGCTAGGCCAATTGATGGCGAATAAACCTGTTGATGAAGAAATACTTGTCTCCCATTGGTCTGTGAACACAATCTGCAGGAAACGCAGCTTAAACTACAGTAAAATTTTGCAGGAAATTCTGCAGAAAGTAAGAAAAATGCAATTTAAACATATTTAGCCAATGAGTCTGGCCAATCTGTTGATATATTCCGATAGATACTGAGCACGATCAGTCATTTTGAAAGAATTACGGTCCGACTCTCTTTATTTTTAAAGCAATGACGCATAATATGATTATTGAAAAATTGACAAATATATTTTCTTGGAGGGAAAAGTGGGACTAGCGTTAAGTTCAAAATCAAAATTAATACACTGATCGAGACCTCGCTTTCAAAAGCATATATCAGTGCATTTTCGCATCGAATCTCACTCAATCATGAACAAACTTGGGCAAAAACAGCAAGATTGCCTGTTTTGTCAATTCACACATTTTCATATTTGGGGACAATTTTAAAGTTGATGGCCAATGTTTTCAAAGTCAACATTTCCACAGGAAAAAATACAGCTATTTTTCTTCCAAATTCATTCATTTGTAGAGTCCGACTCTCTCTTGTTTTCTCGCAGTTTCCGTTGTGATTTGAGAGAAACGATCATGGGTATCATAAGCGTTTGGCTCACTTCAAGATCACAGAATTTGCACTTGCATTTTCTGCCGTGTGGAAGACCAGAGGGAGTCAACTAATTTATGACAGAATGTGCTTAAAAAATGACTGGTGAATAATATCTTTTGTCAGTACGTTTATATACTTAGCTTCAAATTCAAATTCAGATTCGAAATTCATATTCGATGGAAAAAATGATAAAAACGGACCCCTTAGAATCTCACCAAATTTACACCAGCCACTCAGCATGACCTGGTCATCACAGAATAAAATTATCTAAGCTCGGCAAGCCCTGGGGGCTGAGATATTAGGGGTCAAAGTTCAAGGTCATTAAGGGCGGACCCCTCAGAATTACCTCAAAATTTGCACACAGATGCAAATTGACATGCTGAGCACGATGGGCATAAAATCTAAGCCCGGCAAGCCCTGACCTAGAAGTTAGGTCAGGTCAAAGGTTGCAGCCACGTGGAGGTCACGTGACCCATTTTAAAGCGGACCCCTCAGATTTTGATGAATTTTTGTGAACTGATACATCTAGACACCCTCATTAATATCCTAAATTATCTAAGTTCGGCAAGCTCTGGGGGCTGAGATATGAGGGGTCAAAGGTCAAGGTCATTTGAGAGCGGACCCCTTCAATTTTTGTTAAAACGTAAATCACCCCTCAACTTTGTCTTCTGAATTTAATGGTAAAAATTTCTAAGCTCGGCAAGCCTTAGAAAAGCCAGAATGAGTATTTAGAAAACGAGCATTTGTATTCCAATATGGCTGACAGGTAGGTATTGTGGCGCATCAATGACATAATTGACGCGTAAAATGTAAACAAACTGCATGCTTCCAAATGAAGCAATTCCTTTACAAATCGATCGATTTTACTATTTCCTTCATAGATAGTGGCCGTTTAATGTCTATTGATGGATTACGAGTCTACGACCTCATACCTATCTTCATAACGGGCCAGTGACCCCTGATATAAGCCCTTGGTGGATGAATGACCTCTAACCTTTTCTAGTACCTACAGGTCACACACATTCGACCTATCCCCGAAGATCGCTAACCATAGGTGTCACTTCAACTTGAGCTCTCACATCTCCTAACTCAGATCTGACCTGAACTGAGATGAATGACGCGTCACGGGCCTCTGACCTCCGTCATGTGGGTCATTGACCTTTGACGTACCCAGAAAGGAATCACTTACCTGACATGTTAAAAGGACCAGTGACCTCTGATTTGTCTGAACTCTCGCCCGTGTGCGGTGTGCGGGTGAAGGTGCCGGAGGTACGTTGGAACCCCGCCCGCCGCCGTTCGGGCCCCTGATGGGAGTTAGAGCTTCGCGGAAAAACGAGTGTATTGCGAGCGTTACGAGTTATCTTAGGATAACCAGTTTTAGTCCTGGGTCAGTGACCTCAGTTGACCTCGTATGACCTGCACACCAATATGACCTGCTTTCACATACGTCACAGACATTATTCCATAAAGATGACTCAGTCGTTTTCATCTCATTGTCACTTTGTAGGTCGCACCATTTATTGATGAACCAAGTTAGATAACCCGACGACTTCACGTGAGGATACATAGTAACATGTCACAATCGGCATTAAGCAGCCTCGCCTCGGCAAACACTGACGAATAGAAAACACTCCCCAGTCCCCACGCCTCCGCCAGTGATAATAAAGCCTACAAAACGTTAACTGGTCAACTCCGAGCAGTCGCGCAGCACTAGTCAATCAATGAGTACATTGCGACGCCGTCAACATGGGCGGGTCCCGTGGTGGACAGTGTCAAGTCGTGCTTAGCTACGATACGTAACATAAGATACGGCCGCGCCCGTACAGATCACCCGCGCCGTACGGCCCCAAACACGACCAAACACTGGCGGCGGTACACGGGCTCGCTCGGACCGCTCCAGTCGCTGCTGGGTGACTGAAGTCACTTCAAGCTGAGCTCAACACAGCAGAGATCCCACCTGAGCGTCCGGCGGCGACGGCGAGGTGCCGTCTCACCGGGCTGGCCAGCAGACTGAGGCAGCTGGCGCACGGCAGCGTACCGTGCTCATATTGCGCCGGCACCACGCCGATGGCACCTCGCAACACGAGCTGAACAGCTCCGTCCGGTACTCGAGCACCTTGCGGCTGTCGCGGTAGCGTTTGAACACATTAAGTGGGTTCATGTCCTCTGTTGTTGTTGTTGTTGTTGTTGTTGTTGTTTCCCTCCAGCCCTAGGGCGTATCCTGCCGGCTCTGGAGGGGGACGAAGGCGGCACCCAGGGCCGCTACTGCGTCGATGCTGCGCAGGTCCTCGTGGGTCGGGTGTATAGTTCCGAGCACTCGGAACCGGCAGTTGCACCAGGGCGGGACACCGCATCAGCGCGTGGGCCGAGGTGTCTGCTTCCTCACGACAGAGCCCACACCGGCAGTTGGCGATACCAGCCGTCGGGCCAGGCCGCTCTGGTCCTCGCACGCGCCAGCCTTGCCGCTGCTCTCTGGATCGTTCTGGTGTCCAGTGGTGTGTGTCTGAGTTCTGGTCCAGGGCGGAGGTCTCCTCCGCCAGGGTGTCTGCCCTCTCATTTCCAGGAAGGCCGCAATGCGAGGGGACCCACTGGAGGTGAATGGGTCGTCCCGCGGACGACGGCGGCTGGTTGTACGAGTGGTGCGCGGTGACGTGGTGGCCCCCGACGCCGGCCGCCGCCGCACAGCGTGCGACAGGATGTTGTTGCCTGTTGGTGCCATACCTACTCCTGTGGCAAGCAACAGAATCAGAGCGTCAGCAGGGGCGCATGTGATCAACAACGCTGGATATTCGCATATTATTTCAACAGACAAAGAGAAAAACAGCACAGGAGAAGAATGAATAGCAACCATAGCAGCCCTTTCCCTGACGTCCACACGCATGTAGTTGGATTCACCCTATCTGAAGGGTCAGGCCGCCAGCTCACCTCGGTGGGCGGCTGGTGACTCGGTTTGGGCGGCGCGCCGGGCGCCGTCGGCAGCGGCGGTGGCGGTGGCTGCTGCTGCTGGGGCTGCGGCGGCGGCGTCGGTACCACTGTGTCCGAGTAGGTCTGGAAGCCGCCAGTGGGCGTGTGCACCGCGCTGTGGTCACCTAGCCCGGCGCCATCATCGAGACGTGTAGGTACCTACTGCCGGCGAGAGCATGCCAATCAGCGTCATGATGGTTGTATGAGCAGTGGCGAAACGAAGCTTAAGTAATGAACAATACGGGGTCAGTTAATCAGGCCATATGAAACTCAGCAGAACTAGAATTTGCATTTCCCTACAAGATACAAAAATAAAACAGCTTTAAAACATAATTTTCATCAAAAGTCACTACAAACAGGTACACAAAACTACCATTAAATCGAACATCTCAACAAAACTCAGTTTAGATGACTATATTGCGCTAAAAAATGACTATATTAGATTGACTATATGTACAGAGAGAAACGGGAGTCAGACACTCGACAGGGGACAGCGGCGGCTGCAGGACAGGGAACGGCAGCGCTCGCCGCTTGGTCAAATTAAACGTGTTCAAAATTGCGTAAGGTGACGTTCGTTTTTGCAGACGATACAAATAGCAAATAAGTAAAGTTGAGAATATGTAAGAGCAAGAACAGCATAAGTATGACATAAGACAGCCAGCTTTAACTTACTTTTGCGCCTTGAACTCCTTCATTATATCGAGGAAGTCGTTGTGGACCTGTGGGTTGTTCTGGAACTTGGACTTGACCTGGTTCTGGTAGGAGAGCACGTCTTCCACCTTGAGTCGGTGGTAGCTGGGCTGAACAGCGCCGGCATCGGCGTCGGCGGCGGCGGCTTCCCGTCGCTGTCGGCACCCATCACCATGGCGGCTGCCGTCATATTCGGCTGGTAGGCGATCGGCCCGGTCGTCTGCCTGACAGGAGGTACGGTACATACGGGTCGGAAGCGGTTAGAGGAGAAGACAGCGTCAGGTAGGGCGGTTGGGAGGACGAGGGTCGCTCGAACAGTGCAGGGTTCATGTTTCGGTTTTATCCGAATAAGCCATCGGTTCCGCAATTTGGCCAAAAAAGGTGCAGACAGAATGCATGAATATCCAGACATTCACCGGATCAACCAGTTACATATCTGAGTCTGCTTCAACACTCAAGCAAAGCCGCATATCCCACAGCATTACGAAATAAGCATGAGTGTGGGATTGGGGCCCAGACCAACTAGGGACCACGTCCGATCCTTCAGTCTTGGGCGGGACTCTTTTCAGCGCGCTGACACTGTGAAGTAGCCGAGTCGGCCGCCGGGACTCACCTGGGGCGCAGAGGAGTGCGGCACCGGCCCAGCGGCGGTAGAGGCCGGTTCTTCGCTGGCGCCGGCAGAGTACTGCAACGAGCCACCGCCGCCTTCACTCTTCACCTAGAGGTTCTCGCCGTAGGCAGCGTGCACCGGATAGGCGCCGAGGCCCGCCGCCAGCGACCCATGCTGGTTCTACATGATGCCGTCTAAGGCGCCGTCAGCCGCGCCAGGCTCGGCTGGGCGGGCAGACTGGGCGACGAGAAGGGGCGGCTCGGCGGGAGAGCGGCGCACCGGCGGCACCACGCAAACCACGGCTGACGAACCGTCACTACTCTCCGGCGACTCCTGGCGCTTCATCACATTCTCGACACGGCACAGAAACTGCGGGCACACGGACACATACCGACCACACGTCAGCCGTCCGGCGCCGCCGCTCTACCGACCACGGACTGCCGCAGGGCAGGGCAGGGCAGGGCAGGGCAGGGCAGGGCAGGGCAGGGCAGGGCAGGGCAGGGCAGGGCAGGGCAGGGCAGGGCAGGGCAGGGCAGGGCAGGGCAGGGCAGGGCAGGGCAGGGCAGGGCAGGGCAGGGCAGGGCAGGGCAGGGCAGGGCAGGGCAGGGCAGGGCAGGGCAGGGCAGGGCAGGGCAGGGCAGGGCAGGGCAGGGCAGGGCAGGGCAGGGCAGGGCAGGGCAGGGCAGGGCAGGGCAGGGCAGGGCAGGGCAGGGCAGGGCAGGGCAGGGCAGGGCAGGGCAGGGCAGGGCAGGGCAGGGCAGGGCAGGGCAGGGCAGGGCAGGGCAGGGCAGGGCAGGGCAGGGCAGGGCAGGGCAGGGCAGGGCAGGGCAGGGCAGGGCAGGGCAGGGCAGGGCAGGGCAGGGCAGGGCAGGGCAGGGCAGGGCAGGGCAGGGCAGGGCAGGGCAGGGCAGGGCAGGGCAGGGCAGGGCAGGGCAGGGCAGGGCAGGGCAGGGCAGGGCAGGGCAGGGCAGGGCAGGGCAGGGCAGGGCAGGGCAGGGCAGGGCAGGGCAGGGCAGGGCAGGGCAGGGCAGGGCAGGGCAGGGCAGGGCAGGGCAGGGCAGGGCAGGGCAGGGCAGGGCAGGGCAGGGCAGGGCAGGGCAGGGCAGGGCAGGGCAGGGCAGGGCAGGGCAGGGCAGGGCAGGGCAGGGCAGGGCAGGGCAGGGCAGGGCAGGGCAGGGCAGGGCAGGGCAGGGCAGGGCAGGGCAGGGCAGGGCAGGGCAGGGCAGGGCAGGGCAGGGCAGGGCAGGGCAGGGCAGGGCAGGGCAGGGCAGGGCAGGGCAGGGCAGGGCAGGGCAGGGCAGGGCAGGGCAGGGCAGGGCAGGGCAGGGCAGGGCAGGGCAGGGCAGGGCAGGGCAGGGCAGGGCAGGGCAGGGCAGGGCAGGGCAGGGCAGGGCAGGGCAGGGCAGGGCAGGGCAGGGCAGGGCAGGGCAGGGCAGGGCAGGGCAGGGCAGGGCAGGGCAGGGCAGGGCAGGGCAGGGCAGGGCAGGGCAGGGCAGGGCAGGGCAGGGCAGGGCAGGGCAGGGCAGGGCAGGGCAGGGCAGGGCAGGGCAGGGCAGGGCAGGGCAGGGCAGGGCAGGGCAGGGCAGGGCAGGGCAGGGCAGGGCAGGGCAGGGCAGGGCAGGGCAGGGCAGGGCAGGGCAGGGCAGGGCAGGGCAGGGCAGGGCAGGGCAGGGCAGGGCAGGGCAGGGCAGGGCAGGGCAGGGCAGGGCAGGGCAGGGCAGGGCAGGGCAGGGCAGGGCAGGGCAGGGCAGGGCAGGGCAGGGCAGGGCAGGGCAGGGCAGGGCAGGGCAGGGCAGGGCAGGGCAGGGCAGGGCAGGGCAGGGCAGGGCAGGGCAGGGCAGGGCAGGGCAGGGCAGGGCAGGGCAGGGCAGGGCAGGGCAGGGCAGGGCAGGGCAGGGCAGGGCAGGGCAGGGCAGGGCAGGGCAGGGCAGGGCAGGGCAGGGCAGGGCAGGGCAGGGCAGGGCAGGGCAGGGCAGGGCAGGGCAGGGCAGGGCAGGGCAGGGCAGGGCAGGGCAGGGCAGGGCAGGGCAGGGCAGGGCAGGGCAGGGCAGGGCAGGGCAGGGCAGGGCAGGGCAGGGCAGGGCAGGGCAGGGCAGGGCAGGGCAGGGCAGGGCAGGGCAGGGCAGGGCAGGGCAGGGCAGGGCAGGGCAGGGCAGGGCAGGGCAGGGCAGGGCAGGGCAGGGCAGGGCAGGGCAGGGCAGGGCAGGGCAGGGCAGGGCAGGGCAGGGCAGGGCAGGGCAGGGCAGGGCAGGGCATGCAGTGAGAGGCGGCGAGATGCAGTGAGAGACAGTGAGAAGCGGTGAGAGGCAGTGAGAGGCAGGGCATGAGGCGGTGAGAAGCAGTGAGCAAAGGAAGGCAGTCAGAGGCAGTGACAGGCGGTGAGAGGCAGTCAGTGAGCAGAGGCAGGCAGTCAGAGGCAGGAAAGGAGGCAGTGAGAGGCGGTGAGAGGCAGTGAGAGGCGGTGAGAGGCAGTCAGAGGCAGGAAAGGAGGCAGTGAGAGGCGGTGAGAGGCAGTGAGAGGCGGTGAGAGGCAGTGAGAGGCGATGGGAGGCAGTCAGTGAGCAGAGGTAGGCAGTCAGAGGCAGGGAAGGAGGCAGTGAGAAGAGGTGAGAGGCAGTGAGAGGCAGAGAGAGGCGACGAGAGGCGGTGAGAGGCAGTGAGAGGAGGTGAGAGGCAGTCCGTGAGCAGAGGAAGGCAGTGAGAGGCAGTGAGAGCCGAGAGGCGGTGAGAGGCAGTAGAGGCGATGAGAGGCAGTCAGTGAGCAGAGGTAGGCAGTCAGAGGCAGGGAAGGAGGCAGTGAGAAGAGGTGAGAGGCAGTGAGAGGCAGAGAGAGGCGACGAGAGGCGGTGAGAGGCAGTGAGAGGAGGTGAGAGGCAGTCCGTGAGCAGAGGAAGGCAGTGAGAGGCAGTGAGAGCCGAGAGGCGGTGAGAGGCAGTAGAGGCGATGAGAGGCAGTCAGTGAGCAGAGGTAGGCAGTCAGGAGGCAGTGAGAGGCAGGGCAGGAGGCAGTGAGAGGCAGTGAGAGGTGGTGAGAGGCAGTGACATGCAGTGAGAGGCGGTGAGAGGCGGTGAGAGGCGGTGGGAGGCGATGAGAGGTTGTGACATGCAGTAAGAGGCGGTGAGAGGCAGTAGAGGCGGTGAGAGGCAGTCAGTGAGCAGAGGCAGGCAGTCTGAGGCAGGGCAGGAGGCAGTGAGAGGCGGTGAGAGGCAGTGAGAGGCGGCGAGAGGTGGTGAGAGGTAGTGACATGCAGTGAGAGGCAGTGAGAGGCGGTGAAAAGCAGTGAGAGGCAGGGAGAAGAAGTGAGAGGCAGTGAGAGGCGGTGAGAGGCAGTGAGAGGCAGTAGAAGCGGTGAGAGGCAGTCAGTGAGCAGAGCCAGGCAGTCAGAGGCAGGGCAGGAGGCAGTGAGAGGCGGTGAGAGGCAGTGAGAGGTGGTGAGAGGTAGTAGAGGCGGCGAGAGGCAGTCAGTGAGCAGAGGCAGGCAGTCAGAGGCAGGGCAGGAGGCAATGAGAGGCGGTCAGAGGCAGTGAGAGGCGGCGAGAGGTGGTGAGAGGTAGTGACATGCAGTGAGAGGCGGTGAGAAGCAGTGAGAGGCAGTGAGAAGAAGTTAGAGGCAGTGAGAGGAAGTTAGAGGCAGTGAGAGGCGGCGAGAGGCAGTGAGAGGCAGTAGAAGCGGTGAGACGCAGTCAGTGAGCAGAGCCAGGCAGTCAGAGGCAGGGCAGGAGGCAGTGAGAGGCGGTGAGAGGCAGTGAGAGGCGGTGAGAGGCAGTGAGAGACAATGAGAGGCGGTGAGAGGCGGTGAGAGGAAGTAAGAGGCAGTGAGAGGCAGTAGAGGCGATGAGAGTCAGTCAGTGAGCAGAGGTAGGCAGTCAGAGGCAGGGCAGGAGGCAGTGAGAGGCAGTGAGAGGTGGTGAGAGGCAGTGACATGCAGTGAGAGGCGGTGAGAGGCGGTGAGAGGCAGTGGGAGGCGATGAGAGGTTGTGACATGCAGTAAGAGGCGGTGAGAGGCAGTAGAGGCGGTGAGAGGCAGTCAGTGAGCAGAGGAAGGCAGTCAGAGGCAGGACAGGAGGCAGTGAGAGGCAGCGAGAGGTGGTGAGAGGTAGTGGCATGCGGTGAGAGGCAGTAGAGGCGATGAGAGGCAGTCACTGAGCAGAGGTAGGCAGTCAGAGGCAGGGCAGGAGGCAGTGAGAGGCAGTGAGAGGTGGTGAGAGGCAGTGAGAGGTGGCGAGAGGTGGTGAGAGGCAGTGACATGCAGTGAGAGGCAGTGAGAGGCGGTGAGAGGCAGTGAGAGGCAGTAGAGGCGGTGAGAGGCAGTCAGTGAGCAGATTCAGGCAATCAGAAGCAGGGCAGGAGGCAGTGAGAGGCGGTGAGAGGCAGTGAGAGGTGGCGAGAGGTGGTGAGAGGTATTGACATGCAGTGAGAGACAGTGAGAGGTGGTGAGAGGCAGTGACATGCAGTGAGAGGCGGTGAGAGGCGGTGAGAGGCGGCGAGAGGTGGTGAGAGGTAGTGACATGCGGTGAGAGGCAGTAGAGGCGGTGAGAGGCAGTCAGTGAGCAGAGGCAGGCAGTCAGAGGCAGGGCAGGAGGCAGTGAGAGGCAGTGAGAGGTGGTGAGAGGCAGTGAGAGGCGGCGAGAGGTGGTGAGAGGCAGTGACATGCAGTGAGAGGCGGTGAGAGGCAGTGAGAGACAATGAGAGGCGGTGAGAGGCGGTGAGAGAAAGTAAGAGGCAGTGAGAGGCAGTGAGAGGCAGTGAGAGGCGGTGAGAGGCAGTGAGACAATGAGAGGCGGTGAGAGGCGGTTGGAAGCGGTGGGAGGCGGTGGGAGGCGGTGAGAGGCTGTGACATGCAGTGAGAGGCGGCGAGAGGCAGTGAGAGGCGTTGAGAGGAAGTCAGTGAGCAGAGGCAGGCAGTCAGAGGCAGGGAAGGAGGCAGTGAGAAGAGGTGAGAGGCAGTGAGAGGCGGCGAGAGGCAGAGAGAGGCGGCGAGAGGCAGTGACATGCAGTGAGAGACAGTGAGAGGCGGTGAGAGGCAGTGAGAGGCAATAGAGGCGGTGAGAGGCAGTCAGTGAGCAGATTCAGGCAGTCAGAAGCAGGGCAGGAGGCAGTGAGAGGCGGTGAGAGGCAGTGAGAGGCGGCGAGAGGTGGTGAGAGGTAGTGACATGCAGTGAGAGGCAGTGAGAGGTGGTGAGAGGCAGTGACATGCAGTGAGAGGCGGTGAGAGGCGGTGAGAGGCAGTGGGAGGCGATGAGAGGTTGTGACATGCAGTAAGAGGCGGTGAGAGGCAGTAGAGGCGGTGAGAGGCAGTCAGTGAGCAGAGGCAGGCAGTCAGAGGCAGGACAGGAGGCAGTGAGAGGCAGTGAGAGGCGGCGAGAGGTGGTGAGAGGTAGTGGCATGCGGTGAGAGGCAGTAGAGGCGATGAGAGGCAGTCACTGAGCAGAGGTAGGCAGTCAGAGGCAGGGCAGGAGGCAGTGAGAGGCGGCGAGAGGTGGTGAGAGGCAGTGACATGCAGTGAGAGGCGGTGAGAGGCAGTGAGAGACAATGAGAGGCGGTGAGAGGCGGTGAGAGGCGGTGGAAGGCGCTGAGAGGCTGTGACATGCAGTGAGAGGCGGCGAGAGGCAGTGAGAGGAAGTCATTGAGCAGAGGCAGGCAGCCAGAGGCAGGGAAGGAGGCAGTGAGAAGAGGTGAGAGGCAGTGAGAGGCAGAGAGAGGCGGCGAGAGGCGGTGAGAGCCAGTGACATGCAGTGAGAGGCAGTGAGAGGAAGTTAGAGGCAATGAGAGGCGGTGAGAGGTAGTGAGAGGCGGTGAGAGGCAGTCAGTGAGCAGAGGCAGGCAGTCAGAGGCAGGGCAGGAAGCAGTGAGAGGCGGTGAGAGGCGGCGAGAGGTGGTGGGAGGTAGTGACATGCAGTGAGAGGCAGTGAGAGGCAGTGAGAAGCAGTGAGAGGCAGTGAGAGGTGGTGAGTGGCGATGAGAGGCGGTGAGGGGCGGTGAGAGGCGGTGAGAGGGGTCAGTTTGCAGAGGCAGGTAGTCAGAGGCAGGGAAGGAGGCAGTGAGAAGAGGTGAGAGGCATTGAGAGGCGGTGAGAGGCGGCGAGAGGCGGTGAGAGGCAGTGACATGCAGTGAGAGGCAGTGAGAGGAAATTAGAGGCAATGAGAGGCAGTGAGAGGCAGTGAGAGGCAGTGAGAGGCGGTGAGAGGCAGTGAGAGGCAGTGAGAGGCGGTGAGAGGCGGCGAGAGGCAGTGAAAGGCGGTGAGAGGCAGTGAGACGCGGCGAGAGGCAGAAAGAGAGGCGGCGAGAGGCGGTGAGAGCCAGTGACATGCAGTGAGAGGCAGTGAGAGGAAGTTAGAGGCAATGAGAGGCGGTGAGAGGTAGTGAGAGGCGGTGAGAGGCAGTCAGTGAGCAGAGGCAGGCAGTCAGAGGCAGGGCAGGAGGCAGTGAGAGGCGGTGAGAGGCGGCGAGAAGTGGTGGGAGGTAGTGACATGCAGTGAGAGGCAGTGAGAGGCGGTGAGAAGCAGTGAGAGGCAGTGAGAGGTGGTGAGTGGCGATGAGAGGCGGTGAGGGGCGGTGAGAGGCGGTGAGAGGGGTCAGTGAGCAGAGGCAGGTAGTCAGAGGCAGGGAAGGAGGCAGTGAGAGGAAGTTAGAAGGCAATGAGAGGCAGTGAGAGGCAGTAAAGGCGGTGAGAGGCAGTCAGTGAGCAGAGGCAGGCAGTCAGAGGCAGGGCAGGAGGCATTGAGAGGCAGTGAGAGGCAGTGAGAGGCGCGAGAGGTGGTGAGAGGTAGTGACATGCAGTGAGAGGCGATGAGAGGCGGTGAGAAGCAGTGAGAGGCGGTGTGAGGCAGTAGAGGCGGTGAGAGGCAGTCAGTGAGCAGAGGCAGGCAGTCAGAGGCAGGGCAGGAGGCAGTGAGAGGCAGTGAGAGGCGGTGAGAGGCAGTGAGAGGTTGTGAGAGGCAGTCCGTGAGCAGAGGAAGGCAGTGAGAGGCGGCGAGAGGCGGTGAGAGGCAGTGAGAGGCAGTAGAGGCGATGAGAGGCAGTCAGTGAGCAGAGGTAGGCAGTCAGAGGCAGGGCAGGAGGCAGGGCAGGAGGCAGTGAGAGGCAGTGAGAGGTGGTGAGAGGCAGTGAGAGGCGGCGAGAGGTGGTGAGAGGCAGTGACATGCAGTGAGAGGCAGTGAGAGGAAGTTAGAGGCAATGAGAGGCGGTGAGAGGTAGTGAGAGGCGGTGAGAGGCAGTCAGTGAGCAGAGGCAGGCAGTCAGAGGCAGGGCAGGAGGCAGTGAGAGGCGGTGAGAGGCGGCGAGAGGTGGTGGGAGGTAGTGACATGCAGTGAGAGGCAGTGAGAGGCGGTGAGAAGCAGTGAGAGGCAGTGAGAGGTGGTGAGTGGCGATGAGAGGCGGTGAGGGGCGGTGAGAGGCGGTGAGAGGAAGTCAGTGAGCAGAGGCAGGTAGTCAGAGGCAGGGAAGGAGGCAGTGAGAAGAGGTGAGAGGCGGCGAGAGGCGGTGAGAGGCAGTGAGAGGCAGTGAGAGGCGGTGAGAGGCAGTAGAGGCAGTCAGTGAGCAGAGGCAGGCAGTCAGAGGCAGGGCAGGAGGAAGTGAGAGGCGGTGAGAGCCGGTGGGAGGCAGTGAGAGGCAGTCAGTGAGGAGAGGAAGGCAGGGGTTACATAACACCTGGAGTTACAGCATCCATATGAAAAACTCATACAAAAATTATGTGTGAATCAAGATTATTTGACAAAAGCTGCTCATCTTTAGCAACTACCTACTTTGCTGGCTGGTACAGTTTGTTATATGTCACATCACCCTAGGCCCTCTTAAAGCTAGTTAGGTCAGGTGCGGTCGCAACATTTTCTGCGAGGCCATTCCAGATGACGATGAGAATACATTGGGTGGAGAAAGATTGTAGACGAACATCTGGTGTAGCATGTGGCACGCATACCTTGTGACAATAGCCTTGAGTACAGTTCCAAAATTGGATAGTCTGCACATAGGAGCCTTCCTGCAACTGAATACAGAGGGGTGTTCGCGGGCATCGTAAACTGCTGAGTTCACTGTGTGTGGTATGTACAGCAAGCTTAGGGGTAGGGGAAGGGTAACCGGTTCTGATGTCACAGCTGCATGCCATGCGGTGGACGGCCTGTGGCCAGTCCCGACCGACCACAGCAGTTGCTGTGTGCGGTGACGGAAGAATGGCTTAGGGACGCAGTGGGCGGAGCTTAGAGCTTGTGTATGGTCCGACTGCACACAGGGCCCGTGAACAGCCCTCAGATAGGTCATAGGTATGCATAGGTTTCAAAAGTACCTATAATAATCAGCTAGCATAAAAACTCATTCTAAGAATTGTGGCTGATAACCCTGATTCTGAAGCCACGCCCATTCCATGGATCACACACATCATATCACCTTCACCTTAACTTACACACCACGGCATGTTATATCAATATGTTATATGTATATACCTACACTCAAGGCCCTATATACCCTTACCCAAGATTTACCCTTACCTACACCATGGAACCCATGGGCCTACACTACAAAATAAAATGAATATGGCGCGGTGCCTATTTACACGCGTCAATTATGTCATTGATGCGCCACAACACCTACCTGTCAGCCATATTGGAAAACAAATGCTCGTTTTTCTAAATACTCATTCTGGCTTTTCTAAGGCTTGCCGAGCTTAGAAAATTTTACCATTAAATTCAGAAGACAAAGTTGAGGGGTGATTTGAATTTTAACAAAAATTGAAGGGGTCCGCTCTCAAATGACCTTGACCTTTGACCCCTCATATCTCAGCCCCCAGAGCTTGCCGAACTTAGATAATTTAGGATATTAATAATGAAGTCTAGATGCATCAGCTCACAAAATTTCATTAAAATCTGAGGGGTCCGCTGTAAAAGGGTCACGTGACCTCCACGTGGCTGCAAACTTTGACCTGACCTAACTTCCAGGTCAGGGCTTGCCGGGCTTAGATTTTATGCCCATCGTGCTCAGCAGGTCAACTTGCATCTGTGTGCAAATTTTGAGGTAATTCTGAGGGGTCCGCCCTCAATGACCTTGAACTTTGACCCCTGATATCTCAGCCCCCAGGGCTTGCCGAGCTTAGATAATTTTATTCTGTGATGACCAGGTCATGCTGAGTGGCTGGTGTAAATTTGGTGAGATTCTAAGGGGTCCGTTTTTATCATTTTTTCCATCGAATATGAATTTCGAATCTGAATTTGAATTTGAAGCTAAGTATATAAACGTTTTGTCAGTGCCTGACAAATATTTATATTTTAAATCACGCTCTTCAGCTGTCAAGTGAGCTCCAAATGGCCTAAATTGTCAGCTGTTTATCATCCTAGGTCAGCTCAAGGTCACAGACGTCAGCTGAAGAAAGTGGTGACCATTGGCCCTGTGTTGAGCGGACAAACCGGTGTTACCTAGTATTCTATGTACCGTGAATTGTATCAAACAGATTTTTGGTGTACTTTTATTATCTTTTTGAATATTTGTATATTATTTATTGGTCGCAATCCAGCAACCAACATATCACTGCTTCTTTCATTGGTCGAGAGACCACGATTTTCTGTCGTTTCTCGTTTTTTATTACCTAATAATGGGACGCAAGAAGAAGAAGCAGCAGAAGCCATGGTGCTGGTATCCTTTATGATTAGATGCATTTGTTTTGTGCAATATTGCCCTTTAACCCTCCCCCGTATTGGTGTTTCTACTTTCTACAGCCGCGAACGTATAAAGGGGGAGGGGGATCGTTGGACCTTTCACACAGTTCCGTGCTTCTATCCTCGGGATACAGAAATCCTTGGTATTTATTTACTTTAGGTCTGCAAAACAGAGGGGTAAATAAAAGTCATTCACACGATACTCTAAGACCTCCTGATTTCATTTCTGATACTTATTCCTTCTAGAAACCAATTTAAAAGCACCAGTACACTAGTAACACCAGTATCACCACCAACGGCCCCACCTCCGACCGGAACTGCACGTGTCAAAAGACCGTCTGCGCGGCGCACCCGCTACAAATGGTCCAACCAAGGTTGAGCGAAGTTACGGATGATAATAAATTTTATATCCTATAATCCTTGGATATAAGGATTTGGTAAATATTTACCAAATCCTTCTCCTCCAAGCCGCAGTCCCTTCCGGGCTGGACAGGCAACTTTATTCCATGCGGGCTGCTCCCGAGGGAGCGCACCCCGTAGCCGGGTACAGTGAGTACCTTGGGGCTGAGTGGTCTGTCCTCTGGATGGGCTCAGCCCTGGTGACTCACTAGAGTGCCTGCCCAGACCAATGTCTCCCCCTATTATCCTATCAGCCTCCTGGCTCTGAAATGGTTCATTGGACCGAAAGGGCCTAACCCAACAAATAAAAAATAGTTGAACCTCCCCTTCCTGTTTCGCCCCTCATTGAGCTAGAGCTTCACAGAAAAACAAGCTTGCTGCCAGTGATGAGAGGAAGCTGATGATACCCAATTGTAAGGTCCTAGGTCATTGGTTGACCTTCCAGGTCAGGTCAATGACCCAAAAGTTGGGAAAATCTGAACCTGTTAGAACATCATAAAGTGTGGCTGCTATGGGGTTTTTCGGGGTGCTGAATGCTGATCACGAATATCATGTTAGTTTTGATCACAGATGATGTCTTAATGCATTTAGGGCAGGTCGGGTCAGGTCAACCAGTAGGGGTCCTGCCGGGTATTGGTAGTAGGTGTCAGCCGCGCTCTGACAGCTTCGTAACATGTTACAAAGGCACCAAAACTACTTTGTAAACGTTCATATGGCTGCTAAATTCGAATTTAGCTCCAAAAACTGGCCTAGAAACATGCAAGACTCGAAAAAATGAACCAAGGTCATCAAAGGTCAATGACCTGAACCTTCAGGTGACCTTGACACCCACCCTAATGCATGGGACCAACATTTCACATGTTTGAACGCTTGAAACCACGAAAAGACTGCAAATACGCGGCTAATTCGAGCCGACATACGCCGAATCGCGATTCCGGCCAAACATGGTCTCGAAAAGTAGGTCACAGGTCAAAGTTCATTTGGGTCAGGGTCATGAAATTTTCAGGGTAGGTGTAACATTGATCAACTCGAGGGTACTGAAAGTTTCGTCGCGATCGGCCGCTTTTTACGCGAGTTATTCGCGAAAAACCGAGGGGGGCTCGACCCCCCCCCCCCCCATACGGGCGAGGGTTAAACCTCAAACTCACACTGTTGTCTGTTTCACACTGTTGTCTGACTCACACTGTTGTCAGCATTGTAAAATGGCTGCGGAGTCGGAGTCGGAGTCGGAGTCGGAGTCGGTCGTAGTCGACAGTTGTGACCGGAGTCGGAGTCGGAGTCGGAGTCGATTTTAGAAACCCGAGCCGGAGTCGGAGTCGGAGTCACCGAAAATCTGTCGACTCCCTAGCCCTGCTAGGTCTGCGGAGTCGGAGTCGGGAGTTGGAGTCGGTCGGAATCGACAATTCTGCCCGGAGTCGGAGTCGGATTCGGAGCTGGTTTTTGAAAGCCGGAGTCGGAGTCGGAGTCGGAGTCGCCGAAAATCCATCGACTCCGCAGCCCTGTTGTAAAATGCTTGTATGTTTCTCAACCATTTGCGCCCTGCATGTAGGTTACATCATTTTGATCTTTCAACTTTCTCAACTCAACTTGCCTCATTGCCAACGTCTATGTCAATGTGTGTTCTTTTTTTATAAATTTTGTCCGAACCTTTTGAATGGAAGGATTCACAAGGACAGAGCTCCCGCTAAGCGAAGCTTGTTGCGTTGACCCTACCCTCTACCCTCCGATCGCGCAATTCCGGTTCTATGGCAGAATTTGGAGTCAAAAGTTTAACGTGCGCACATAGCCGCGCACGGCCGGTCCCCTCACTGACTTCGCCTGGCTATGGCCTGCCACCAACCGCAACCATACCTGTCAGGAGGCTCATAAACTTCGAGCGCCCGTCGCGCCTCAAACCCGGACTGTTGTAACCGGCAACGCGTGCTCTCACCACGCGGAGTCCAATGAAACGAAACGAAGGCTCAGTAGGTACCTACCTATTTTATTTACAAAGTAGGTAGGTATATTTGAAATAATTCGCATTAAACATTAGAAATGTGTAAGGGCAACGGTTTGATCCAGGCAAGATCAGTCTGCCACATATCAGGGAAATTGTCAACTTCCTGGAGACTCAAAACTTGATTCTTGAAATGAGAGGCTATCAAGAAGCTGATCGATTGCCTAGTGATGCCAGTGTCGCCTAGGCTTCCATGTTGGGTTGGATATTGTGATTCAGTACATATTTTGTCAAATGAATCCGAACAGCTAGACAGACAGAACCCCTCTGCCCACTGCTAGGGGTATGTACAAAAATTTTGACTGTAAATGTGTCCAAAGCAGCTGACATGTCAAAAGAGCACTGTAAAAATCCTTAACCAGACAATCACAGGTACTGTAACCGTGAGTTTGATGACGAGAAGATTCTGATCCAGCATCAGAAGGCAAAGCACTTCAAATGTCATGTGTGCCACAAGAAACTGTACACGGGACCGGGTCTATCCATTCACTGCATGCAGGTAAGTAACAGGGTTTCTCGGCTCTCACTGGATTCTCCTGAGCATGGGCCTTTGTCAGTGGTTGGAGCCAGTAGAGTTGGTACCGACTAGCGACGAAATACTAACACATCTGGAGTGTATGTCGTCCATTTTAGCATTGATTGATGTCAACAAACTTAAGTGTTGTTGATGAACGAACAAAGCAAAGTAGCGTCTACCAAACCAGTAGGTATGCTAGCTGCTGCTAGAGACATGCTCTATCTGTCATTTTGTTGTCATTTTATCACTGGTCACCAGCGACCCAAATTTAGGTCCATATTACCATTATCGACGGCGCATTTCCTCTCCGCAGGTTCACAAGGAAACAGTGGACAAAGTTCCCAATGCTCTGCCCAACCGGAACAATATCGAGATCGAGATCTACGGTATGGAAGGTATACCAGAGGAGGACGTGCGGGCACACGAGCAGAATCTGAAGAACAAGGGCAGCAACAAAAACAACGACGATGATGGTAAGTTGCCCGACGTCCAAGACTTTGTGACTAGAAAACAACAACGTAAGACGGACCTTAGGGTTCTTATATTTCTACCAGTCAAAAAGGGCAGTCAATGTCGTGATAGGCTGTTTTAAATTAGTATCTTTTGTTCACTGGTCATGATTATTGACCATGCTGTGATGTTGAATCGATAGTTTTATAATCACTTTGTTATTACTTAATTTGTCTTGCGTCATGCCTGAAAAGTTTCCTAATAATTATGTCGTTAACGTAGTTTTCTTTGACGTCATTTCCACTCGATGACGCCTCCAATGACGCCCCCCCCCCCCCTCAGATGACGACTCGAATCCAGCCGGCGGTCCGGCCGGCCCGTCTCGCTCGTCCCAACTGCACCCGTCCACCCAGCAGCCGTTCGGCGCCTTGCCCGGTATGGCAGGGCCCGGAGCGGCCGGCGCCGGGCCCCCCGGCATGGCCGGGCCCGGCATGATGAGGCCCATGGGGCCCATGGGAGGAGGACCCGGCATGGGACCGTACGGCATGCATCCAGGGTAAGTGTGCTTGGGGAAAGTAAGAAGACGATGACCGATGTCGAATAAGTGTATACGTTTTGTAGACAGCTAACCCTGGTAATGTCAAATATACTTTGTAATTGCAAAATAATGGCGGTGATTAAGTTTGCGTCATTTTTTTTCCAGCTGCCTATAATATGAATAATCTCGGGATCATTTTGTGTATTTAATGTCTAATTTTACTGTGAATTACAGTTTGGTTTCAGTTATATGCTCTCATCTCATTGAAAGAATTACGGATTTTGAAATGCGATCATTCACCACTAGCGACTGGGAACCTATTTCAAGACTTGCAGCTTGTTACGAGTTTCACACCATCTCATCCACCTGTTTCATTTCAGGGAAATCTGACCTCACCTCTCTCCATTCACAGCATGATGAACCAGATGGGCGGCATGGGACCCATGGGCCCGATGGGTCCGATGGGCCCCATGGGTGGCATGGGCCCGATGGGCGGCCGGCCCATGGGGATGCCCCCTGGTGGCCCGTCTCGGCCCCTGTTCCCGGCGGCTCAGGTGACTGCGGCTCAGCCCGGCTTCCCCGGACCTGGAGCGGGCATGGATAGCGGGCCGCGGCCGGCCTTCCCTGCCTATAGGTGAGTTGGGTGGGGTGGGGTGTTCGTTGACGGGAAAGCTGGGCTTACGGCATGGATGAGAAATGCTACATTTTGATCCCTGCTTACCGTCATCTCGCCTTAGGGCTATGTGTGGAAGGTTATCCGCCGATGGGTTGGACAATATTGGTGGATAGGTCTTTTTTCTTCTTAAGATTATGATGTCTTTCACTGTCATCATATCCGGGGCTTGTGCCTTTTTCGTTCGACAATTATTTGATCATAGACCTCTGTATACCGAGGTCTATGATTTACTGTCACCTAATCACTAACTGATAAAATAACTGATTATACTGTCACGCCATTTTCATGACGTGAACAATTAACATCTCTCACGGGAGCATCTGCACGCGCCACGTGCAGGTGCTCCCCCATCACACCGCATCGGTTCGGCGGATGGTGGCCATCAATTTCAATGAATGGGGCTATGCGGGGGTGAATGAATGGATGTGGTAGGTAAACCGACTCTCGAGTTATAAAACATTTACTATTAGGGCCGTTGTGGTCATGGTCAGATTTCTGTGTCCAGTCCAGGTCTACAGAGGTCTATGATTCGATACGTTTCGTTACATACGTTGGTATGCATTTTGTAATGCATGCTGTTTTTCATTACGAAGTTGAAGTGGGATTCGATTGGAGTCGACAGATCTACCCGGAGTCGGAGTCACAGTCGTCAAAATTTTACCGACACCGACTCCAGGGTCAGAGACGACATTGCATGGCTCAAAGTCATTCCCCACACGTAGTTTACGGAAAATGTTGCGTTCGTTGACCTTTCCAAGAAAGATTTTGTCGAAGCTAAGCCGGCCATACTCTGGTTTCGGACCATATTTTTAAGCTTGAAAGGCAGAAGAATGCTTCTGCGCCAGAACCTGCTTTTAGTTCACTTTGTGTTATTTATTAATATATTTGCAACGTAAGTCCGTGGAACGCGGAAGGCATTGTTTCAGGCAGGGTGAAACTCGGCTCCGACATGAACTTAAGTCGTATGATGTGAACTTTAAGAGAGATGTCCGGAGTCTGGGCTTAAGTCGGAGTTGGACTCGGGGTCGATTTTTGAAGCCGGGGTCAGAGTCTCTAAAAATCCTTAGGCTCCGCTGTCCTGCTGAGATACTTGTTTCTGATCCACAATTACTGCGTATATTTCGTGACATTTTGCTTATTTTGAACGTCATTTATACTGTATATTACCGATGCTACTAGCATTTCATGTCTTGCCGATAACTGTCGTCAGCCTTAGATGTCAACCTTGAGTGTCAACCTTAAGTGTCATTTGTCAACCTTAGGTGTCAAGTGTCAACCTTACCGCCGATGACTGTCAACCTTAGTGCAACCACCGAGTACCGACAATGACCACGTACTACTGACCTCTATGTGACCGTGGCCTGTTCCCCTGACCTGTGACCTTTACCTACACCCTCTTATTCTGCTTCCACAGCCAGCCGTCGGCCACAGTAACCCGTCCGGGCGCTCCGGTGGTGGGAGCTGCCTCGGTCCCCGTCCAGGGAGTGTCATCCGTGCCCTCCATGGGCGGGCCGGGCGGCGCCCCGGTACCCACCGCGTCAGAGATCAGCAGAAAACCGGCGCTGATACAGCAGGGAGGCGCCACCAGCAAGATTGTCCATCCTGAGCAGGATATCTCGCTGGTGAGAGACAAGGGGATGAACAGAAACAGACGGATGCACAAACAGGGACAGACTGAGGGAGTCGCTGGTTTATTGCTGGTGATATTGCAAGGAAGGAAAATGGATAGAGGGCTGTAGCCGGATCTTTGTTACCCCCTGCTACCTTGCAACCACCCTGTTTTATGCCTGTTGCCTCGTTCACGGCATCCCAGCGTAACTTTCGTTCTGTATCACTCCATTGCTCAGTGTTGGAGTCCTTGGAGGAGCGTGTAAGATTGGTACTGGAAACCCATGTTCGTGCCTTCAATCGTGTATATGCATGATTGTCTTGTTGACCCGGATATTATCCCGCTGTTACTCTGTTGCTACCCCCTTTTCCCGTGTCCCCAGGAGGAGCGTCATGCCCAGCTGGCCCACTGTTACCCCGACATTACCCGCACCCTTCCCCCTCTTATTCCCAGGAGGAGCGTCGCGCCCAGTTGGCCCGCCTGGTCTATTACCCCGACATCACTCCATTCTTATCCTGATATTAACCCGTTGTTTACCCCCTTCCCCCTCTCGTCCGCAGGAGGAGCGTCGCGCCCAGCTCGCCCGCTACCGTCAGCCCCAGGGCCGCGGCGGTCCGGGCGCCGCCCACCAGCCCGGCCAGGGTGGTCCGATGGGAGGCGGACACCCACAGGGCGGTCCGATGGGCGGCGGACACCCGCAAGGTGGAGGTATGGGCGGTCCGCGGCCGCCCCACCATATGCAGCAGGTGAGGAGAATGGGAGTGAGGGGCGGGGGAGAGACTGGGATGGTGGGAGAGACAGAGATGGAGGGACAGGAGAAAGTGAGACTGAAGGAACGGGAGGGGTTGAGGAGAGTGAAGGGACTGAGAGGGACTGGAATGAGGGGGACTGAGGCCGGACTGAATCCGAGAGATAGGAGGACGGAGACTTAGGGGATGGAAGGGTCTGAGACTGAGACTGAGGGGGTGGCAGGCAGTGAAGAAGAGACTGAAGTTGAGAGGAATGTTCGAAGTTTTATCGACTCTTCCAGCTGCAGGAGTGGCATTATTGGTGGGTCGACTCTATTTGGATCATCTCTCAAACCTCGGCTGTCTCGAGCTGTCAGCCCCACGAGTGGAGCTCACCGGAGAAACCGCCGCCCCGGTTGAACTGTCTCGGGTGTTTGAAGTTAAATACGAGTTGAAGTGCTGATGGGTTCGCCAGGCGACGCATTTGTGGGTGTTAAAGGTGTCATGCGACGGCCTGGTGGTTTCCTAAGAAGCGATTTTATTTGATCATTTTGCATTTGGCTCGATGCTGAAATAACGCCTGCTAAAGTATGCTTTTTAGTTTCCGGTTATGTTTATTTTTACCCGTGGTTGGCGTCACATGCGTTGCTACTGGTGATTTGTCGTCCAATTAAACACTCCAACTCTGTTCGACCGTGACACTAGTCAGTTCGCCCAGTCTCCGCCAGACGGTGCTAGTGTCGCCTGTTGCCACGGTACTGCAGAATGCCGCCAGCGACCATTGATCCCTGAACAACCGCTCTGTTGCAAGTTATATAACCTCGCCCATTTGACACGTGTGTTCATTCGAGCCCCGCCCTTGTCTGGGGAGACGCCACTAGCGCCGCCCGCGGCCGTCGGTGTAACACTAGTTTGTTTCTCTGCCGACAGATGGGGATGATGCGCCCGGGCGGGCCGCAGCCTGGTTTGCTGGGCGCCCGGCCGCCTGGAATGGCTGGAGGTGAGTGTAGAAAGGCAGGCTGAGCCGCCTCTAGAACAGCACTTATTGCTGCCAAAGTTGGTCACAAAGGCACTTAATGCCACCAGTAGCGCATTAATTAAATTAAATAATTGTATTCATGGCACCATCAAAGCAGGAAACGGATTTTCCGCGGAGATCTCTTGAGGCCGGTTTTCCCGGCATTTCTATGGAACAAACGGGTCGTTATGTAACAACTGATACATGTTTTCCGGATTTGTGGTCATAACGAAACGAAACGTTGAGTATGGACGAGGTTCCGTGTAGAATTGCTTTCAGTTCTGTGACGTTGGTTATATGGAATGTTTGCAGCTATGCTCATGTTTAGGTGATATCGTGTGATAGCGGGTAGTGTGTAATAGTTAGAGGTGCATCTCATATTGTCTTAGAGAAGGCTCATAGGCTCATAGGCTCACAGGCACTTTTGCTATTTGAACTCGGATGTGCAGACTACGGTATTCGAATGTCATGTTCTATGTTATGCGTCGCAGAACTTGCCATCAGGCAGGTCATTGACATTGTTTCGTGACTGCTGAGGGGATTTACTCCCAAAGCTTCGCACTATTTCCTTATCAACGTTTCTTACAAGATGCTAATCGTCCCGACATCGATTTAGTAGCGGAATAACGTCAAGGCGCATGAAATGTGCGGCTGCGTCCGTTATTGGCGTAGATATTGTGATACAGCGTTATTTCTGATGTTTACAAGCAACCGTGTCGAATAAGCTTTCGAAACATGTTACGTAAGACACGTGAGGCGCGGGCTTTAACACATTTTTAGTGATTTTGTCATGCAAGTTATAACTGCACATGCCAGTCGGACCTTACTGACGATTTTCATTATGTTAGCAGGTGTGTTTTCCTGTATTATGCGCTTGCGATGCATCTTGCAGAACTGCTGGGATATGATATAGTACATTTAGCTGCCGAACCTGGGGACTGAGGTCAAGCCACTGTAAACTTTGCGCGACTCTGTATGTTTGTACGTCGATCACCATAGGCTCAAGCGGCTGGCAACGTGCTTAATCATCTGTGTGTATGAGTGTTCTAGAATGATCGTCATGTGCACGTGCCATCGCTATCTCTCCCCCCCCTCCCGCCTACTCCTCGCCCCTGAAGATCTCGCTTCATCCGTCAAGTGCAGTGGTAAAGTGTCCCAGCTGCTAAGCACTTCTCGCCAGCATTTACCGTCCATGCAAGTTTGAGCGACTGGGAACTTTTACAACTCGTTTCGCGGCCCGTCTCTGCCGACTGCCGCGCTGACTGAGAAATGATTGTGAGTTTGAACCACCTGGCTATGACCGTCGAATATTCAGCAAGATGGGTGTGTCGCCAAGATGTCAGTCCCATCAGGTCATCCGGTGTGGCCACGAGAGTAACGCGAGGTCAGGTACGGACAAATGAGGTGGGTCCAACGAGGTAGGTGGTGGAACCTTCGGAGAGCGAGAGTGCTAGATAAAATGTCGAGAGGGCACGAAGCAAAATTCATTCATACTGGGAATTTATGCGTATTTTATTGTCCATTTATATAAGACTTGTGATCAGATGAAATTGCAAGCATAACTTGTCTCACGTAGCTATTTTCTCAGCAATTACGAGATAGTCTTACTCCAAATGGGTGAAGCATATGATCCAGCGTTTTCGTTTTACGATGCATTTTGGTGACTGCTAGGCTGCAGCTATTGTTACATAAGCCTGCCTCATTTCATTCGCATATTTAAGATCAGCCAAGACATATCACTTTGGCATATGACTCGCAAGTCACAACCTTTCTATTTCAACCAGCTCGAGAGGCCTAGAGACCTCGTTCGTTGAGGTTGGGAAGGACCAAACCCCTCTGGGTTTTCACGCTGAACTTGGCTGACAGAACCGGCCGACATTTCACAGCGCCAGAGAATCAAACGTGCGTTGTTGGGCGCTTAGAGCGGCCCCCAGCCCGGCTCCCGACCATCGGGACTGGGCTTGGCGAAATGTCGGCACATCTCCTGTTCTAGGTGGTCTGAAGTGCCCTCGGCCCCGTGCGGAAGGGTCTGAAGAAGGCGCTACCTCCGGCAGCGAAACAGAAGTGATATAAGAGAGGTGGGAGATGAGTAACTTGTGTGATAGGAGAGGTTTTTCTTCAGGCGACTGTGTGTCCGAAACGGTGGGTGTAGGGAGCTTCGGCCCTGCCCCTGCTTCTCGATGCCTTCGGAAGCTAACGGTAGGAACACGACTAGCGGTACTCAAAACGGTGGGTCGGTGGGTGTATGAGAGAGCTCAAGCTCTGTCCCTGCCTTTCCAAATCTTCGGAAGCCAACGGTAGGGACGCTTCGTCTTCGAAACACTCCGGATGCAAGGTGTGTAACGCGATTTGTGATATCGTTGTGCGCTGTTGTTCGCCTTTGTCTGGCCTCGTCCGGCGTTTGGAATAGGTAGGTGCGATCGGCCCGACCGATTCGCCTGCCCTCTATCGACGACTGTTTGACTCACAAATACAAGGTGGGTGATACTTCTACTACGGTCAACGTGTATCAAGACTGCGAGACTCTCCACCAAACCAGGGAAGTCAGCACGGCTCGATGGGCCGTAGACGCCGCGCTATGGCCTCCTGCTGAAGACAGGTAGGCCGCTGTGGTGTAACCAGCCACTGAGACCTGCCAGTCTTCATCGAACGCACGGTAGGGCGGTCTGTCTGTCTCTGCGTCCCTCTAACGCCCGTCCCTGTCCCGCAGGTCCGCCGCGCCCTTACTGAACTGACGGTAAGTGCGCCGCCGTCGACGCCGCTGCCGATGATGCCGTCGACGATGCTGTCATCGACGCCGTCGACGATACCCCGTCGGCTTCGATGGAGGTAAGCGGCTCTCTTCTCGCCGCTCCGCAACGGACCATCTTAGGCGCACCGTCGTCGCGGCCGCCCCCGCTCCGCGTCTTCTTTCGGTGGGGGTTGTGGGGATGCTCGCGTCGCGGGGATGGGCGGTGATCAAGAGGAAGAAGAAGGCGTCATCACGGGGTGGTGATGTTTTAGGAGTTGTGGACGTTGTAGACTCCCTAAAGGGTCCATGGTGACCCTCTGAGGCGCCCCGATTCATTCGTACTGCTCGCGAACTGTGCGATCGGTGCGCTCATTCCGCGAATTTGGACTGTCATTGTAACGTTCTACAGCAAAGGATGCGTAATGTCTCCGCTCTGTGTCGTATTCAATTCATTCATCCGCCGCTGTGGCGTGGCCAATCGAACGTTCACTACTGATATTTGGTGGTCCAGAATACAGGTTCAAAGTCTACACTGGTTTGCTGGTTTTGTGGAAGTTGTTGAGTGGTTGTTTGAAGGTCAGGTGCACCCTAGCAGAGGTTAAGTCGATGAATATTCTTAGGAAAGCCACAAGTCGAGAACACGCTCATAAAATATATTAGGAAATTGGAAGTCTGAAGTCATGAAAGCAGCATGTGGTTAATGATTCATGGCCTGGAATTGCTGCGCAGGGGGTCGTTAACGATGTGCGCCTAAATAATTGTCATTTGTATAATTATCTTAATTAAATAATTGTAATTGTTATTATTCTTTGAATTAGATGGTCTTGTTCGGCCACGATGACTCAGATTGTCACAGGCAAATAGCCAGGCTGCGTGCGATGCGCATTATGTGTTCTATCGTTTGCCGTCTCACTTTTTCTTTCCGGTAGTTTTCGTTTTATTTTACCTGATTAGCTTACAGTCTACCAAATGCTAGCAGCAATATGCGTCTGCTGGGCAACTTCTCCTCTTGGCCACTTTCTCTTATCTTTCTCTCCTTAGTTTTCGTTCAAATATGAAGATTTTCTTGTATATCGAACCATCCAGCCCAGCAGTCAGTTCCTGCAGTAATGCAACCAGTCATGTGACTAGGAATCCACGAGATGAGATATCGGCCGTTGCATCTGGCACAAGGTTCGGATTCAGCCATGAGAGGTGCAGCATGACCTTAATTATTATCCATAAAATATGCTTGTGAGCATATTCGGTATTTCGCTACGAAATGTCATACCGTAATGGTCTTTTAACAACCTTGTTATTGTACGTATTTCTGCAATGTGCAGCTTTATTAGTGTGCTGCACCGACTAACCTTCGGTATCCAGTGTTTGCCCAGTGGTTTGCGGCTGTGTGCTACATGAGCAGATGTTTGCTTCGTCGTCAGTGTTTGTCCCGCTGTTTGCTGAAGTTTGTTCCGCTGGAAGATGACTGCTGTGTCGGTTAGTGTTTGTGGTCGCTAGTAAGGGTGGCTTGCAGCATCAGGTAATGTTTGTCCCGCTGTTTATTTCGATTTATTCAACCATCAGTCTGTCTCGTTGTATGTCCTTGGCTGCTGCCACTACCCCACGAACCGGTCTGTGCCTCCTGCTCGCGCTGGCTGGTCGGCCCATGGCAAAGCGTAAACTGGTTATCGTCCCCAGCTTTAGTTACCAAAATTATTTACCAATCAACGAGACACTACTGCGTCGTGGGGCTGGTATCCGCTCAATCTATGTTTCAACTGGCATGCGTGTAGAGAGGATCTCTTCAAGACATTTGGTTGCTTATGTAAGTTGCGTATTGTTGCGTTTCGTCATTGTACTTATAGGAGCGAGCGAATCAGTTGTGGGCTGCGCAGTTTGCTATCAGCCGTGACTGGCACTGGGACTCTAGAACATTCAACGTGCCAATCCAACAGAGAACCGACACTGCCGCCGTCAAATTATTGGCCGTACTCGGTATTAGATATTTGACTGAAGTGTTTGCATTTGACCCTAAAATATCATTTATGGTCTAATTAGGCACTGCGTCTTGGTGCTATTTGATCGGTATATGTCGCAAGTACCTACACAAAGTCCCTCTACCTATGCTAACAGAAGGGACAGGAAGTTTGAACTGCTTGAAATGGTGGCGTTCTTGCGCAACGACGTTTGAGCTGGAAATTAAATGGCTCGTTCTTTGAGAGTCGAAGACTACCGAAGAACAATGCGTTTTGCATAATTTAGGATCTAAACCTACACATCGATTTATAAGTCGGTAATAAATTGCGTCTATTTAAATGTCTCCCTATGCTGCGTTTCAGCCTCCAGGACTTTTAAGAGTATCTGATCTATCGTTGGCGTTCAATGCAGTCAGCATTGCCCGTGTTTTCCGTCAGTTTTAGTTTACCGTTACACCACTGGTAACGTGCTAATTCATTGCATCGCTAGCAAGCTGATGCACCCCCTCCATTTAACCGTGCAACATTGCACCTTGTTTTGCTCCCTGCTCGACGCTGCAGGCACGTGCCTAGTTAGCACCTTTCCCGCAGAATCAGACGCGCCGGGTCAGCCATCCGGTCGGCTTCTCTACACGCGCAGCACTGACGGACACGCACATTGCGCAATGCGGCCGCACGCGGCTCGCACCCAGAGCGCAGCGGGAAAAGTCACTCAACTGGCAGCGATCGGTGCCTAGATCCGAGGGGTCACCGAGTCCAATGCTGGGAGGGACGTGCGCTTAGAGACTGGTGAAGTTGGGTTAGAAGCGAGGTCGTCGAACGCGGGCTGGTTCCGACTGCAACAGTGCCGAACGGGTTTAGTGCGGGAGTGAGCGGGGACGATGGCACATAGATGTGTCGAGTTGATGCGTTAGTGGTCTGGGCGGACGCGAGCGATGAAAGAGAGACGTGACGAGTTGAGGCGTTTGCACTCAGCGGCTTACTGGCTGGGGATAACGCGAACGAACCGCGAAATGTGTCGAGTTTGAATGCGGTTCGGTTGTCGACATAGGTACCTCGAAACGAGCGATGTGGTGTGGTGTGCGCTCAACTCATATAATAACGATGGCGACGGACATTATTTCGCTCGATAGTCGGTCGTTGTGGCAAAATTCACGCCCTTTCGTGAAAGTCGTGACATAATTGGACAGTTATGACGGTCTTGACACCTATGTAAGCGGAAGTCAAAGTATCGCATAGCTCGTATCAAGCCGTTCTGTTCGCGAAAGAATGGTGAGAACTTGTAGATTAGACCCGCCGCTTTGAAATAACCCAACCCAACAAGGCCGCAGTACGCTGGCATCTATATTTTCCCATGGTGTAATCAAGCTAGGCGGATGTGGGTTTCCATTCAGGCGTCAGCTCCCATTTGAGTGATGGTGCTGTGACGGATAGGTATACTTTGCTCGCTGCTGCAATGGGGCTCTGAGTATCGACAGAGGGGTCGCGGCAGCGGAGACCGCCGGAGAGGAATGACCGATGATGTTTGAAATCGCTCTAACATAGAACGAACTGGATTTGTGGCTGGGATTTGGGTCGAATCGGCTCGGATCATATCAACCACAGAGTGGGGAAGCTTTTAGCATTACGGCTGGTGAGGCAACGGTCATGGCTTCGACATGCTTTCTTGCTGTTGGGCGATGCAACAAGCGGTCTTACTGCGAAGTTTTGCTGTGGTGAGTTGTCGCAGAACCCAGCGAAAAGTCGCCGCATTCGTCAACTGGTATGTGTAACCTGTGCTTTCAGCGAACAGTTTCTACATTCTTCAATGGCTCCGCTCGCTGTGAACCATCCATACCACAGAGTCGTTTGCAGCTCCGCACCCATGATTACCAACTGTTATCCATACACTTTGTACCGCACTTCATTCGAGCAGCGTGCACGCCACTGCGCCCTTACCTGCCTGCTGTCTGCAGTGGAACGTATTCTATAGATCCGGCTGCATTTACCCTGTGCATCCGCGCTCAACTTCCGTTCACCACGGTTGGCAGGGGTTCGAGTTGGGGCCAGGCCGGCCGATATATTGACAGCGGGCGGGGGGGGGGGGGGGTGCAGTGAACAGGTAGTGCAGGAGCACAGTGACAGCAGGGGTCGAGGGCAGGCGGCGGGGGCCGAAAGGGGGAGGGGGGACAGTGAACATGAAGTGCGGGGGCAGGCGAGGGGGGCACAGTGACCTGGTGAGTGGTGGTGCATCGAGCAGTTGCAGCAGAGCCGGAAGGGGAAGCGGGGCGGGGGGGGGGGCAGTAATAGTTCAGGCTGCCCCGCTGTTACGTCGCCATTACGATTGTATGCACCATGAACATTGAACAGTCCAGCCGAGGGAGCGCCCTCTCGTATCCGGTGTTGGGTAATAATGGATCAAAGAACAGCTAAATTTCATCAGACCGGACGCCTACCGCGCGCGAACCTGCCGACCTTTAGTCTAAGTTCTAACTTTGTACTCGTCTGAGCGGCGGCGTGGCAGGTTACGTTCCCGGTATTTTATAAAGTTATTCAGACTCCAAACGGCTGAGGCATGAGGTAAAGGTGCTAAGTGCTTATTATGACCCCACTCCACGAGTTTGACCTTATGATCTCTGCGTGAGTGACGGCCGCCAGACTCAAATGTCGTTTCACCTGTTTGGTCTAGATAGGTACGAGCGAACTGGTGGATGTAGGTATGAATGAATATAAATGAAGGAATGAATGTATAAATGAATGAATGAAGTGCGAATGGTCATTTACCTTTGTAAGACGGTTGTTTTAACCCTCGCCGGACCTATTGGTTTTCTACATACGCGCCGGCCGAGGGGGGGGGGCGGGTACGACCCCCCCCCCCCTCCAAGGGCGGCGCCACCGTGGGGGCAGTGGGGGCAGACTGCCCCCACTGGCAGGAGGCCGTGGGGGCAAGACTATGTTTTTGCCCCCACAAAATTTGGCTGATGTATGGAAACAGAAGACCAGGGCAACATTCATTATAGGCGGTTATAATAGTACGCCTGTTTTTGACAGTCCTCGTATCAAGTGTGTCAGCAGAACGTTCGTTCTCGGACCATCTGTCGCATATCTCCTACTCCCACTCATTCTCCTACTCATTTTCATTCACCAAAAGGCTGCCCTCGAGCTTGATCTCGAGGAGGTTGAGAAGCAGTTTACCAAAGTCGGCCAGAGAAGAGATCACCCTCTTTTGGGAACCCTTAGACTGAGACTGAGCTCAGAGAGGTATGACAAAATGTGATAGGTATGTATATCCCGGGTTATCTGGAATTGTATGTGGGTCGCCCTAATGGAGCTTATTCTCGTACCTATATCAATCGTATGTGAGAGAATCGCACATATACGTACTACGGGAAAAGGAGAAATAGGTACTGACTATAGTTTTGAGGAACACACCATTTTACATCTCAACGAACAACATAACGTTTTCACAGGTTTGTGTCTCGCAATCAAGTTTTATAGTTTTATTTCGGCCGGGCCCGGGGGTAATCCTAACCGTACCGCAGCCCGGGGTAGCCCTCCCCCCTGTTTAACCCTATTCCTGGCGGGCTCCGCCGGG